CCCAGTACCACACATACACAGAAAAGTAAAGGTAACATATGTACATACCACAGCCTGCTGATTTGCCTGCATTTATTTGACTACATTATTTTCCTGTTAGTTTCTTTGAAATTATTAAGTTGAACAATAAGAAATTGACAATTTGGGGTAGGTGTATATGGTGGCACATGCCTGTAGTCCCAGCTACTCAAGAAGCTGAGGCAGGAGGATCATAGGTTTAAGGTCAGCCTCAGCAATTTAGCGAGACACTTGTCTCCAAATTAAAAGGGTTGAGGATGTAGATTAGTGGTAGAGGAACCCTGGGTTCAATTCTTAGTACCCACCCTCCACACACACCCATACAAATTGCCTTTTTTTTTTTAAGCTCAAAACCAGTTAACTGTTGAAAGTGTGATGGTTTAGTCTAATAGTTTGAAGGATAATCTGACACTTCATTTCTGTGATTCACTCTATCATTTTTATTATTTCCATCAAATATTAGAATTCCTTTTCTAGATAGTCTTGACTCTTCTAGTCTTTATCCCTTTGCTCATCACTGATTATTAGTTTTGCTGTTCAAGATGAATTTATTGGAAAAACTGCTTTTCCTTTGTCCTGCATCTCCTTTACCTATTCACCCTCAGCACGTGCATTTGCCCATAAATGCTAGTTACAAAGTAAATTATGGATATTGTTACCCAGTAAAGCATTAAGCTTTAAAATTTGAAACATGGATAATTTCTTTGTGTGGTATGGGGGAAGAAGCATTGGACTAGAGTCAAAAGACCTAAATCTCAGGGCTGGGATTGTGGCTCAGTGGTAGAGCACTTGCCTGGCCACCGGTGAAGTACTGGGTTTGATCCTCAGCACCACATAAAAATAAAACAAAGGTATTGTGTCCATCTACAACTAAAAATAAATAAATAAATAAATAAATAAACTTGATCTGCCATTTGATGAATAAAAAGCCTTAGAGAAAGTAATTTGACATCTGAGCCTGTTTCTTCATTTATAAAGTATAAATAGTACATTCTTTTGCCACCTACCTAAGTAGTTAGGATCAAATGAAACTGAACTGTTAACTAGTAATTATAGCAATTCTTATGTCCCTTATTTGGAATAACTAGAATAGGAGATAGTTCTTTTTACTGTGTACTTTGTAGCTTCCAAAATGAAGGTTGATAATCTCAACTTCTGATTTCCATCAACACATAAATGAATAAGTAAAATTGTGGTATACCTTACCATGAAATACTACTCAGCAGCATAAGCATTTAGAGGTTGGAGATTTTAAGTACCTATTCTCAGTATTTTTAGGTTTGTATATGAATATTATATTAAAAATGTTTTCTTATGAGAGAATAGATGACAATGGATGAGATTCCTACCTCCTTCTGTTTAAATCTTCTTTAGATTAATAAAGCAATCAGCAAAAAAGTCAAGGTCTAAATCTTTTTTTTTTGGCAGGGATTGGTGGCGGGGATCAGGGATTGAACTTTGGGCACTCAGCCACTGAGCCATATCCCCAGCCTTATTTTGTATTTTATTTAGAGACAGGGTCTCACTGAGTTGCTTAGCACCTCTCTGTTGCCAAGGCTGGCTTTGAACTTGGGATTGTCCTGTCTCACCCTCCCAAGCCGTTGGGATTACAGGCATGAGCCACCACGCCTGGCCTAAATCTCTCTAACAATTATTTTCTTGATAATTTTTCTTCATTTTTATGGAATGAAAAAAAAATCTTAATTGAGGTTAGTCTATTTGTAATAAGAAAAATGTACTAGATACAGGGGAAAAAAATCAAATGTATATTCATGTGTGTCACTCAATTCTTAAACCAAATTTAATGAGAGATTATTCACATATGATAATAAAAGTCACCAATTTTAAGTAACTGCACAGTTTTGACAAATATATACATTCTTGTAACCATGCCACAGCTAAGGTATAAAATATCCTACTTTTAAGGATACTTTTTTTTAGCCATCTGTACATCATTATCCTCAGAAGTCCCCCGTGCCCCTTTGCTGTCGGTCTCCTTCCCATTCCCTGGCAAACAGTAATCTGTTTTTCTGCCACTGTGATCGTGACTTTTTAAGAATTTCATATAAATGGATTTGTATATGATATTGTCTTTTATGTCTGGTTATTTCACTTCACGTGTTTTTGAGATCCGTCAGCATTATTGTGTGTATCGATTGTCCTTATTTATTTATTTATTTATTTATTTACTCTCATCGTGTTTCCTGTACCATTTTGAACATACAGAGCATAATTGTAATAACATTTATGGGGCTGGGAATGTGGCTCAGGCGGTAGCGCGCTCGCCTGGCATGCGTGCGGCCCGGGTTTGATCCCCAGCACCACATACCAACAAAGATGTTGTGTCCGCCGAGAACTAAAAAATAA